AAAAAAAAAAAAAGATGAAGAAATAAACCAAATGAACAACAAATGCGAGAGTGGACTTTAAAATCTGATAGACTAGAATTTAATTTAGGTAAACCAAAATGATACTTGCCCTTTTCTATCTTTAGATACTCTTGTTCAGCTTGAGAAGCATAGATGGCAGACAACACTGAAAAAACAGAGGCTAGCACTGTCTTCTGTTCTTGAACAATGATGGGCGGATCATCAGACTGGCAGAATTCATGACAAACCAGGTCAAAAAGTAAGTTCCATGTGTCTTTTCCAGTGTCGGGAGACTGTACTTAATAAAGATGATAAAGAAAGTAGTAATTTAAAAGCAGCAAGCAATTAAATGAGTAACTACAGTACATCTCAATAAACACCTTACCAATTGCTTGAATTCCATCATCCACTGTGGTAAGCAGCTGTAAGATATGCATGTAAACATCAAGCCCTTCTGTATTTTCAGAACTAAAAAAAGCAAAAGTATTGAATCAACAACTCTACATCTATCCAGGGGACTACTTTAATTCAAAGAGTATTTATTACTCTCTGCTAGCCTGACCTATCCTGACCTCTCCTATCCTGTCCTGAGGATAAAAGGGAGAACAGAATAAAATTTCTGTGCTCAGCAGAGCTTAAATTCTAGTAGGAAAAACAGCAAAACAAAACAAATAAATATTATATAATATAATCAATACATACCAGACAAGAGACAAAAACTGATTTTGGCTTTATCTCATAAAAGCAGTATGCAGAGACCTTGTTGATACTACTTCTGGTTTACTTGAATAATTAGAATAAAAAATTACTGAGCCTTTTCTATCAATGTAAGGTCCACTGCACCCAGAATCAACAATACCGATGTTCTTAAAACTTCTTAAGGCTCGGCACCTGTGGCTCAAGTGGCTAAGGCGCCAGCCACATACACCTAAGGTGGCGAGTTCGAATCCAGCCTCGGGCCTGCCAAACAACAATGATGGCTGCAACCAAAAAATAGCCGGGCCTTGTGGTGGGCGCCTGTGGAAGGCTGAGGCAAGAGACTCGCTTGAGCACAGGAGTTGGAGGTTGCTGTGAGCTGTGATGCCATAGCAATCTACCCAGGGGGACAGCTTGAGGCTCTGTCTCAAAAAAAAAAAAAAACTTCTTAAGATTGGGCGGTGCCTGTTGCTCAGCGGGTAGGGCACTGGCCCCATATATTGAGAGTGGCGGGTTCAAACCCAGCCTCTGCTAGCTGAAAAAGCAGTGGCAACTGCAACAAAAAATAGCCAGGCATTGTGGCAGGCACCTGTAGTCCCAGCTACTCATGAGGCTGAGGCAAGAGAATTGCTTAAGCCCAGGAGATGGAGGTTAAGTGACGCCATAGCACTCTACTGAGGGTGACAGAGTAAGACTCTGTCTCAAAAAAAAAAACTTCTTAGGATTATCCTAGCTCCCATGTGAGAACACTGAAACCATATAATTCTTATGATCAACAGTTGGGATTCTCAGAAACTCAAAATCTAAAAACTCAAACCAAACTATTAAGTGAAAAGCAACAAATTAAAATGATGTTTCAGCAAATATTTATTTAAGTGTCAACTACTTTCATGCACTATGTCAGGGGCTGGGTAAACAGATGTATAAGACATTATTCCTATCTTCATAAAGTTTATAGTCTAAAAGGACAGAAGATAATTAAAGGGGCAATTACAATAAAGTAATATAAAAATAGCACTAGAAGAAGTTCCAGTGGCTAGAAGACCATAAAGCAAGAAGATTTAATTTAGTTTGGAGGGTCAGGCAAGGTAAAAGAAAAATGATGTTTATATAGAAACCTGAAAGGCAGTATTTGAGACAGGGAAGACATACTGTGCAAAGGCTTGGAGGCAAGAGAGCTTGGTTCAGTTGAAGAAATGAAGAAAATTTCACACAGATGAAACACAGAGTACAAGGAACAAGGATGGAGAGGTACCGTGGATGACCTTATAAACTGTATTTTTAAAAAATCTACATCTTACCCTAAGCAAGGCCAACTGGAAAGTTTGAAGCATGCAAATGAGAAGACGAGTGAGTGAGTAGACACTGTGCAAAGACAGCTTTGAAGTGTATAGGTTTGGAAGGAGCAAGCCTAGAACCACAGGACTCAGGTAAGAGAATGTGACAGTTCTCCAGGTGAGACACAACAGTGGCAAGGTGGGCATGAATGGATTCCTAGGAAAAGTCAGGAACAAGCCTTGGAAATCGGCCATAAGACAAGACTACGGTGAGAAAGACTCAATAATGGCTCCTCCATTTCTTCTTCTACATTATTTAAGTGGGATAACGACTATATGATCTATTGAGATTGAGAAGACTGACAAAGGAGGTTTGGGGGGAAAATGAAGAATTTAATCCTCATTTGGATAAAGAACATAAAATTAATAGGTATTAAGGTGGCTTATTGAGCAGGAAGAATGCACTACTGCCCACTAAGCAGACCAATTCAAAAATCAATTTTCTAGTGACTATCAATAAACAGATTTAACAACCTATAAGACTTAGCAATCTCTCTTGGGAAGACACTAAAGTTCAAAACTCAGTCAGTTGTCGAAGACTGGCATATATATACAAGGAGTGAGAAAAAAATGATGTCCAACATTAATTGAAGAAGTTGTTAAATGTTCAATGTAAAATAAAACACAAGAAAATCACTTCTCTTTGTTTTAAATTACACACATAAATTACATCATAAAATTGCTGATGATAAAAACAGAAACCACAATTAATGCTGAATAATAGCCTACAGCTAAATGACAGGACAACAAGAACTTTTTATTTTTGAGACAGACTCTCACTTTGTTGCCTTCAGTAGAGTGCTGTAACATCACAGCTCATAGCAACCTCAGACTCTTGGGCTTAAGCGATTCTCTTGCCTCAATCTTCCAGCAGCTGGGACTACAGGCACCTGCCACAACGACTGGCCATTTTTTGTTGCAGTTGTCATTGTTATTTTAGCTGGCCCAGGTTGGATTCAAACCCACCAGCCTTGGTGTATGTAGCTGGCACCGTAACCAATGTGCTACAGGCGCTGAGCCAGGACAAGAACTTTGTTAACGATTACCACTCTTGCAAAGAGCAAAGATACTGTTGCTATAGTTTGGCCTTCTGTCTTCTAAACCTCATGCTAAAATCTGATCCCTAATGTTGAAGGTAAGGCCCAATGGGAAATGACGGGGTCATGGAGACTAATCCCTGAAAAAGTCTGGTGCCATCCTTATTCTTGTCCTTGCAGTAATGAATGAGTTCTCACTCTATTAGTTCCCTAGAGAGTTGGTTGGTACAAAGAGCCTAGAACTTGCCCTAGCTTGCTTCCTCTCACCCTGTGATCTCTGCATACCTTGGCAGGCACCATGAGGGGAAGCTGAGTCCTTCACTAGAAGCATATGCTGGTGCCATGCTACTTGCACATAGTGTGCAAGAAGTGTGAGCCAAATAAGTCTCTTTTCTATATAAATCACCTAGCCTTAGGTATTCTTTTATACTAATACAAATGAACTAAGACAATTGCCATCACAAATATTACTAGTGTGACCTAATAAAGATTGGTTGTATACTTCATTCTTTCAAACAGAATCAGAGAAGAATTTTATATCTATGAATACTTCCAGCAATTGGATTTTCCCAGAATATTTTGCACAAAAGAGCTCACTGACCGTACTTGTTTAGCAGCTTCAAGTATACAGGGCACAATCCTATACACTGGCTGCTCTTCAGAATCTTCCTGGGGTTGGTCCAGAGCCTGAGCAGCTCCATTTCTAATCCATTCCAACATTAGTTTCTCATCCAAATCAAAGAGCTTGTCCACAACCTCCCCCACCTTCACCAGCAAATCAACTGCAAAGAACAAAACAAATATTAAAGTAAGAAAAAATGTTCAAAGTAATGACTTTAAACAATATTCCTAAAGCTATTCTAAGAAGGCAAATCTTGCCAAAACAGTACTTGCTCCAAGGTTGATCTGTTCACTTCTTATATCTAAATTTGCTTATTTTCTTTCTTTCCTTTTTTTTTTTTTTTTTTTGAGATAAGGTCTCACTTTGTTGTCCAAGCTGGTATGAGTACAGCGGTACAATCACAGTTTACTGCAGCCATAAATTCCTGGGCTCAAGTGACCCTCCTGCCTCAGCTTCGAGAGTAACCAAGACCATAGGTACGTGCCCAGCTAATTTTTTTCCTGTATTTTGTAAGGAAAGGTCTCTCCATGTTGCCCAGGCTGGTCTTAGACTCCTCGGCTCAAGTGATCCTTCCAATTTAGCCTTCCAAACTACTAGGATACAGGCAGGAGCCACTGTGCCCAGCCTTCCAGCCTTCCTTCATTTTTAAATGAGGACTTCATCTGTGTTCCAGAAGTTTAAAAAGAAATTTTATATCTTGAATTGAAAAAACTTTCTCATCTAGTACTCAGCCTTTTTTTTAAAAAGTGACTTCTAGAAATACTTATAAGGTTTCCTAACAATTAAATAAAATCTAAAACATTTTTCCTAGATTACAGGGTGACTTACCATTTGTTGAACTTGACATGATGAAGCAAATGCTATCATAAATAGCTGGATGTTCCCGGATCCTTTCAACCCAGACATTGGCCACTTCTGTCTGGGAAAGGCAAGTAAGCAACAACCTACATGATAAATGTACGTTTAATGTCTACTTCTCAAAAACAGTAAAGGAAATTACTCGATTTTCCTAGATTCTCTTGTGGGTAACTTTACGGAATCCTTAAAGAAAAAAGGATACCTGCTTGTTTCCAGCAGAGTAGGTGGGTCTGAATCATACAAACAGTGCAGTAACACCTGCCTACAAAAATAAAACAGCAAAAGTATATGCTTAACTTCTTACATTTCAAATATCAGAGTTGTTACATAATTTTGTGAAAACTCTTACTGTGAAATACAGTATATATATATGTATATATGAAGCCCTATAACATACAACTCTACAGTTAATGAATAATTACAAAGTGAATGCTCATGTCTCTAAGAAATAGCACAGTGCTACATCTCCACAGCCCCCCATGCATCCATTTCAAATCACAATTCTTTCTTTTTTCCTTTCTTTTTAGACATTCAGTTGCCCTGGGGTTGAGGGCTATGGTATCAAAGTTCATAGCAACCTCAAATTCTTAGGCTCAAGCGATCCTCTTGCCTCAGTCTCCTAGTAGCTGGGACTACAGGGGCTCGCCACAACACCTGGCTAGTTTTTCTATTTTTAGTAGAAATAGGGCCTTGCTCTCGCTCAGGATGGTCTCCAACTCCTCAGCTCAAGCTATCCACCCGCCTCAGCCTCCCAGAGTGCTAGAATTACAGGTGTGAGCCACTGTGCTCAGCCCCACAGTTTTCCTTCCTTTCCAGAAATGATTACCATCCTGAGTTTTCCAGCTCATATCCTTACTTTGTCTATACTTTTATTACTTCATATATTTCTGGTTTTGCTCTTGTACTTTATACAAAAAAAATTATATTGTACTTGTCCTTTTGAGTCTTAGTTGGTTTAGCTCAAAACCATGTACATAAGATTCTCTCACAATGTTCCTGTAGCTATTGTTCTTTGATTCATTGCTATATAACACTCCATCGTATGACTATAACACAATTTAGTTTTTCAGACTATTTTTATGGACATTTGGGTTGATTCCAGTTTTGACCTATTTCAAGCAATCCTCCTATAATATCTGTATGAGTATCCCAACGTCCATGTGCACAGTTTCTCTTATTAAAAACCTATCAGGGGGTCACAGCGTAAACATATCTTCCAACTTGACTAGATAATGTTCTAAAGTGGTTGAACAAATTCATATCCGATTAGCATTGTAAACTGTTCCATATTAATATTAGGATAAACATTTAATTAAACTTTAAAAACTTGGCTCGGCGCCTGTGGCTCAAGCGGCTAAGGTGGCGGGTTCAAATCCCCAGCCCAGACCCGCCTAACAACAATGATGGCTGCAACCAAAAAATGGCCAGATGTTGTGGCGGGCGCCTGTAGTCCCAGCTACTTGGGAGGCTGAGGCAGGAGACTCGCTTGAGCCCAGGAGTTGGAGGTTGCTGTGAGCGTGATGCCATGGCACTCTACCCAGGGGGATAGCTTGAGGCTCCATCTCAAAAAAAAAAAAAAAACTTTAAAAACTTAATATTTTTCATTAACAGATTTTTGACAGAGAAGGCAAGAGACCAAATGTGATTCTGAGTCATTTACTCCATGAATGACTGTAAATAACTGAGGAATAAATACCTTGACCCAGGATCTCAAAGTCCCCATCTAGAAGATGTAATCACCTCTTCTTTTTTTAGAGACCCAGGTATTTGAATTCTGTGATAAATCCTCATGGTCCCAGATCTGACAAGAACTGCTTAGAATGGTTTTCTTAGCCTATTTTGGGCACAAATTTCCTTGATATTCTGATTAACAGCCATGAACCTTCTGCCTAGAAAATAGATATACCCACAAAATTTGACGTATAATTTTTGGGTATTCTCCGCCCTCCTAAAGTAATCACTAGGGTTTCCACCATTAAAAAACTATCTCTGGTGGCGCCTGTAGCTCAGTGGGTAGGGCGCTGGCCACATACACCAGTCTGGAGGGTTCAAACCTGGTCCGGACCAGCTTGACAACAATGACAACTGCAACAACAACAACAAAAATAACTGGGCATTGGGGCGGGCACCTGTAGTCCCAGCTACTTGGGAGGCTGAGGTAAGATAATCACTTAAGCCAAAGAGTTTGAGGTTGGTGTGAGCTCTGACGCCATGGCACTCTACTGAGGGTGACAGCTTAAGATTCTGTCTCAAAACAACAAAAAAAAAACTATCTCCCCAGAAATTTCCCACATGTAGAAAAGTAGCCTCCAAGCAGAAGTACCAAAGCCTTTTAGTCATAAAAACAACCCTTTATTTCCTACACTGTTGGGAAGTGCTACTCTCTGATGTAAGTCGGAGCTCTGAGGATGACACTGCAACAAATCTACCTTCTCCAGCCTCTAGTTCTCTAAGTCCTTAGATTCCCTGTGCCCAGATTGTTTCAGATTCTAGTCAGCTGCTTCTATCTACAAGTGTTGCCCCATAGGTTCTTCGCCTATCTAGCTTACCACCTGTTGATGATTTAGGTCCCTTTACTACTGATGAAGAAAACAGGCTTAAATCTTGAAACATGCCCGAATACAGTGAGCAAGCCCCTGGTATCATCATTATACAATTAGGTTCCTGGAGAGGGATCATCAAGACAAAGCAGGACTACACTTCACATTTTCCTATCTCCTCTACGTATGACAATTACGTTAGGTATGTATTTAAAAAACAACTGCTATGTAAGACTTACCCAAGATTTTTATCACTGCTGATAGACGCACATATCTCCTGGAAACAGGCCATATTACCTAAAATTCCCACACAGATTTCCTGCCGAATTAAATTTCACAGGTCACAATGGCTTCAAGGTAAAAGACAAAAACATAAAAATAACAACTTGAAGAAAAACTTTCAGGGAGCTAAGTTTTGAGGAGAGGAGGAAGGGAGGCAGGATATGGAAGTACAAATATTGCCTGCACCCTAACCTGACCAGTTTACAGTATTTGAAAAGAGATGAAAAAGAAAAAGAAAGGTCCAAAGAAGGAACTATGGAAGAAGAAATCGTATGGATGAAATGAGTCTTTAAATGATTCAGATACACAAAAAGAAGAAAGATGTGCAAACAAGGGGAGAGTATCAGTAAAGGCAGGAAGGGAATGATGCTTGAGGCCAATACAGTAGACAGTATTCTGCTTAGAACAAAGTGGGTGAATAGCATGAGAGAAATGCAGCTGATACAGGATCAAGATAAGTAGCTGTGAATGCCATCTGAAGAGTAAGACTTAATCTTGGAGGTTATTTGGTATTCAAGAAGGGGAGACAATATACTCAAACAATATCTTAGAAGATTATGCTGGCAGCAAGATGCATAATGCATTATAGTAGTTTCCCTGTTATCTGCAGTTTCAGTTACCTGTAGTCAACCTTGGTCCAAAAATATTAAGTAGATAATTCCAGAAATAAACAATTCATATAAATTCACATATATACATACATATATATATTTATTTTTATTTTTATTTTTTTTTCTTTTGAGACAGAGTCATGCTCTGTTGCCCTTGGTAGAGTTATGAGGCGTCATAGCTCAAAGCAACCTCAGACTCTTGGGCTCAAAAGATTCTCTTGCCTCAGCCTTCCAAATAGCCGAACTATAGGGGCCAACCACAACGTCCAGCTATTTTTAGAGACGGGGTCTCACTCTAACTCAGGTTGGTCTTGAACCCATAAGCTCAGGCAATTCACCCACCTAGGCCTCCCAGAGTGCTAGAATTACAGGTGCGAGACACCTTGCCCAGCCCCAATTCCTATGTTTTAAATTACATACCTTTCTGAATTGCCTGATGAAATTTCATGTAGTCCCACCCAGATGTGAATCCTCTTTCCAGGCTACCCACACTGTCTATGCTTATCTGCACTTAGTAGCTGTCATAGTTATCTACTGCCATGGGATAGCACTTAAATACAGCTCACAGCATTCTACTAAGGGTGACAACTTGAGATGCTATCTCAAAAAAAAAAGGAAGAAAGAAAAAAGTCAATGGAAGTGAAAAAAGAGAAACTAAAGAGATCAGAGACCAGAAAGTGGCTTTGAAGCTACAAAAATGGAATTTCAACAAAACATTAGTGGTAAAATGTTGGGAAAAGATTAAAAGAGAGTAGGGGCAGGACAGAAACACATACATTTCCTTTATAAACTAAGGAAGAAATAATAGAATTTCTAATCAGACTTCCTAATCAAGTTTCTCAGTCTTGACCATTCATTGGAAATCACCTGGGAACTTTAAAAGCTGCCTGGAGCCTCACACTTAGAAATTGTTTTAATTGATCTCCTGGAAATCCCAGACCCTACCCATGACCAACTGAGTCAGAAACTCGGGAGGCAGGCTCAGCCATCAGTGATGCTGGGACATGCCAAAGTTTGAAAGCCCATATCCTAAGTGATTCTAATGTGCTGCAAGGCTGAAAAACACTGCTGCGGTAGATTGTGGCTATAGCAGACATATATTAAGATATGACGAATTCCTAACAGGTACCATTCCTGACATAAGCTTATCTTTTTAAGTACTAATCATGAGTCAATATATTTAAGACAGAAAAATTGAGAAAAAAAAGTCACTTAATTGTTAAATCTTTATATTAATATAAAGACCCAAGAGAAAAGTGGCTAAAAAGCCCTAATTGTGGGACATTCTGCTAAACAAAAATTTTAATAGAACATTCAATTTGTGAAAATATACTATAGAAGTCTCCATTTTATAATCTTAAAGAAAGAGAGGCAATACAGCACAGTGGTTATACTGCAGTCATGCCTAGGCTCAAATCCCAGCTCCATTCTTTTCTAGCTATATGACCCTGGACATATACCTTCGTCTAAAACTTAGTTCTTTAAAAGTGTGTCTCATAGGAGTAGTAAAAACAAACACTCAGTAAATAGCAGTTATTTGTGATTATAATTATTCAGTAGGTATTTACTAACCATTCATGATATGCACAGCACACTGCACAGGAGGTAAAGACCTCTCATCTAGTCTTTAACTATTGTTCTTGGTAGTTTACAATTAGCAGTGACTGCTGATAGCTTACTCATTTGGGAAGGCATGGCAGAAAAGTGCCACCTTGAACAGATACAAATATTGAGAGGGGACAGAAGGCACACAAAGGGAGGCAAGGAGATGTAACCATAGTAAGGTGGTGAGACAGGGAGTAGCCAGACCTAGCTAAACCAGCAGGGCACCTGGAAAGGAGATTGTATGGTAGAAAGATGACTTAGGTACAGACTGTGGAAGTCTTGAGTGACAGGTTAAGTTCTGAATAGTTTTTAAGCAACAGATGGTTTTGTGAGTAAAAAAGAACAATGAAGGCTCGGCGCCTGTGGCCCAAGCAGCTAAGGTGCCAGCCACATATACCTAAGCTGGCAGGTTCAAATCCAGCCCAGGCCTGGAAACAACAATGACAACTACAACCAAAAAATAGCCGGGCACTGTGGCAGGCGCCTGTGGTCCCAGCTACTTGGGAGGCTGAGGCAAGAGACTCACTTGAGCCCAGGAGTTGGAGGTTGCTATGAGCTGAGATGCCACAGCACTCTACCCAGGGGGACAGCTTGAGGCTCTGTCTCAAAAAAAAAAAAAAAAGAGCAACGAAAAAAGGGCATTGGACCCTGTTCTTCTACATATTAGCAGAATAACAGGGTTATCCCTAACTGGTTTATACTGTTATAAAATAATAATTATTAAACTCTAATACAGGCGTCCTCAAACTACAGCCCACCTAGGACATTTATCTGGCCCGCTGGGTGTTTTTGCCACCGCTGCCTGGCCTGCAGTCCAGCCCTCCAATGGTCTGAGGGACAGTGAACTGGCCCCCTGTTTAAAAAGTTTGAGGACCCCTGCTCTAATAATTTAAAATAGCACATTACCTAGTACATACTTACTCTCAATCGAGGACACTTGGATTTGGCCAGTATTCCCATAAATATATCAGGAGCATTAAATTCTTGGAGAAATAAAGCCACATCCTAAAAATAAAAGTGATTATTAACTTGGATATTGAATATTCCTGTTTACATCCTATAGCTTAGATAACCATAAAATAATTTAACTTGATATAACCTCCATTCAAAAATAAGAAAAAAACAAACCATAAAGTTAAGAACTATGTGAACAGGCTCGGTGCAGTGGTTCATGCCCTAATCCTATCTGAGGTGGGAGGATTGCTTGAGCTCAGGAGTTCAAAAGCAGCCTGAGCAAATGCAAGACCTCGGCTCTACTCAAAATAGAAAAATGAGCCAGGCATTGTGGTGGGTGCCTGCAATCTCCAGGTACTTGGGAGGCTGAGGCAGGAGAACTAGTTAGACCCAGGAGTTGGAGGTTGCTGTCAGCTAGGCTAAGGTGATGGCACTCTAGCCTGGGCAACAGAGTGAGACTCTGTTTCAGAAAAAAAAGAAATCGTATGAACAAATAAAAGTTATGTTAGAGAAACTTTGTGGTATCTGGTCCCAGACAATGAACAATTCCATAAACAAATGTAAATTAACTGTGATACTCTGGAGAATTAGCCTCCTTTCTCCTGCCCTGAACCTATTTCCCTTAGTGATTTTTTTACCCACCGGGAATCCTTATTAACACATTTGTTGACTCCATATTAAGTATTATGCTAGAAGCTGTAAATAAAGCAAAAGAATAAAACTCATGTTTCCTATCTTCTAAGAGCTAAAAACACAATAGGGGAAATAAGTGAGAACTGCTACTGAGTCATGTTCAAAATCAGATACGTGTTTTCAAAATCCTCAATAGAAAAAAAATTCAGATCACAGTGTAACTGCGACCCTCATACCTTCTTCCCAGAGTCTGCCCACTCCACAGCAACTAAAGAGGCACACCACACAGGAGAATGAGTCTGGAGTGGACATGCGACCACAAATAGGCCAAATCTCACCCAAGAATGGGGACATAAAAATCAGTAGCAGCGGGGACTCACTTTATAAAACATATAAATGAAAATAAGTTTCTAGCTCTCCATTGCCTCACATTTTCACCAAATTTGAGGTGTATATTCGGGAAGGTTTAACTTAAAACAGATACTGCACAGCTTATGTGAAAATTCACATAGAAGGACCGGAGGGCAACTCAAAGAGGCAATTACCCTCCAAAGCAGCTGAAACTGAGGTAATCTGCATGACTGCTGACTGGAAGAAACAACTCTACTTATTAAAAGACAATGGTCAGATAAAACAGTATTTTCAAAGATACACTCCAAATTCAAAGTCCCTTTTTTTTTGCAGTTTTTGGCCAGGGCTGGGTTTGAACCTGCCACCTCCAGCATATGGGGCCGGTGCCCTATTCCTTTGAGCCACAGGCACCGCCCCAAATTCAAAGTCCTAAAAGTAGATGCTCACCACTGTAAGCAATCCAACTGTTTGCCATGTCAGCAGTTCTTTGTAACATGCAGGAATTTCTTTCTATCTATCTATCTATTCTGAGACAGTCTCACTCTGTTGCCCTGGGTAAAGTGCCATGGCATCATAGCTCACAGCAACCTCAAATTCCTGGACTCGAGCAATCTTCTTTTACCTCAGCTGCCCTAGTAGCTGGGACTACAGGCATGACCACCACGCCCAGCTAATTTTTCTATGTTTAATAGAGACAGGGTCTTGCTCTTGCTCAGGCTGGTCTTGCACTCCTAAGCTCAAGCAATCTGGCCATCCTCCCAGAGTGCTAGGATTACAGGTGTGAGCCACTGCACCCAGCCACACACAGGAATTTTAAAATTTAATGACAGTTAATTCCTGTAGTACAAGGGTAGCCTAACAATAGCAACACCAATAATAATAATAATGACAATTAACAGTCACTGAACAAGTATTAAATGCCAGACATAGTGAAGTGATAAGATTAGGTTGGGTGGCACCTATGGCTCAAAGGAGTAGGGTGCCAGTCCCATATGCCAGAGGTGGTGCGTTCAAACCCAGCCCCGGCCAAAAGCTGCAAAAAAAAAAAAAAAAAAAAAAAGATTAGGTCACAGTATGCTGCCTAGGCTGGAATGCAGTGGCTATTCATAAACACGAACATAGCTCACTGCAGCTTCAAACTGGGTGCATTGCACTACACCCAGTCAAGCTATGTTTTTAACCCCTATACCACGCTACCGCTGAAGTTCATTCATTTATTCATTATTCTTCAAATATTTACTGAAAAACTTAAAAGGCGGTGTTTTAGGCTCTGTGGACACACATGAACAAGCTAAATGAGGGCTCAGTCCCATGGAATTTTCATTCCAGAAAATTGAACAAACTACAAACAACTAAACTATATAATTTGTAAGTGCTAGAAAGAAAAAAGATGTGCTAGAAGCCAAGACAAGGGGGCTAGTTCAGATATATCAGAGAAAATACTTCTCAATAAGTGACATTATGCTTTGAGGAGAAGGAACTTAAATCAGGAGACACACAGACTCAAAAGAATCACTGAGTAACAAGTTATGCAACAGAGTGAAACATTCTATGGGGGCACAGAAATAAGAGAGGTTAATTCTGCCTAAAGTGTGTAGGGCTGCATCACAGAGGAGGTGACATTTTAAGCTGGGCCACAAATAATGACAAGGGTTTTACTAGCTGGAAGCCATTCCAGGTAGAGTGGCAGGAACAGTGCATAGACACATGAAAGTACAGGAAGTATCTGGAGGGCTCAAGTCCTTATACTGAATTGATGGTCACAGACTGACAGGAGACAAGGCTAAGATGTAACATCGCTGAAAGGACTTTGTGCCAGAGACCCCAGGGATCCATGAAGAGCTCAGTTCTACAGAGGTGCCTCAAGAGCACATAGAGGGCAAAGCAGAGGCCAAAGAACACAACCTTTCCTTCCACTAATCACCTAATTTAAACAGCAGCTCTGTTCCTCTAAGTCTGAGAGTTTCATACTAATAGTATTTCATTTAAAAAACACGTTCTGTTTCTTTAAAAAAATTTTTAAATGATTGACAGATACCTAAAAATACTTAAGTTTTTTTAAGGCTGGGCACAATGGCACACACCTATAATCCTAGCACTCTGGGAGACCAAGACTGGAAGACTGCTTCATCTCAGGAGTTCAAGACCAGCCTGCGCAAGAGTGAGACCCTGTCACTACTAAAAATTAAAAAAAACTGGCCAGGCATCAGTGGTGGGCACCTGTACTCCCAGCTACTCAGGAGGCTGAGGTAAGTGGATTGCCTAAGCCCAAGAGGACTTGTCATAGTTCACAGCAACCTCCAACTCTTGGAATCAAGTGATTTTCTTGCCTCAGCCCCTCAAATAGCTGGGACTACAGGCACGGGCCACAGTGCCCAGCTATTTTTAGAGACGAGGTCTCATTCTGGCTCAGGCTGGTCTTGAACCTGTGAGCTCAGGCAATCCTCCTGCCTTAGCCTCCCAGCGTGAGTCACTGAACCTAGCCTTATCAGTGGTCTTCTAACTCCTAATCTGTTCTCAAATATAAGGCCTTTTAGGTAGATAAATATCAGAACTTAGCTGGCCGAGCCTGTGTGCTCAAGCATTCATAATGGCTGTATATTTAGCCCATATCTAATGAGTGCTCTGATCCAACAGCCTCGAAGACAAAAGTTTAGCATTTACAGCTCCTGGAACTTCATTCCCTATACCTTATATGGGAGTGACTACAGACACTCAGTAAAGCTTTTCCCCAGACAAAAGGACTTTTTAAAAATTCCCTTCACCACCTCCTCACCCAGCAGTCTTTTCAGAGTTTCATTTCCAGCTTCATACCTCATCCATTGACATGTCCCATACTCTGCAAATTTCATTCTCCATTTCTTCATCAAGCTCCATCTGCTGTTCCTCATCATCTGAGCTGGATTTGGCATTTTCAGGGCTGACAATCTTCAGAAACACAGGGATGAAAACAGATGAATAAAAGTTGTCCAAAGCACTCCTTGAAAAACATTTTGTCAATTCTCAGCTGGGCTACTGTCTGTGTGGAGCTTGCACATTCTCCCAGGTCTGCATAGGTCTGCTCCGGGTATTTCAGTTTCCTCCCATAGTTTAAGGATGTGCACATTAGGTTAATTGGTGCATCTATATGGTCCCAGTCTGAGTGTGGGTATGTATGTAAGTGCATCGGCCAAGGGATGGTATCCTGTCCAGGGTTGGTTCCTGCCTCACGTCCTGAGCTGCCAGAATAGGTTCTAGCCATTCTTGACCCTCAAGTAGAATAAGCAGGTTGGAAAATGAAAACAAACTATTATTTATTATAAAATAAAAAGACTGTACTATTGTCTACTTTCTCATTTCATATACACATACAACAATAAATGATATGGTATGAAAGCACTCAGGAAGCCTGCCATATTTTTCATTGTTTTTGAACTATGTGGTTCCTTATAATTTTCACTTAGGAAACATTTAATTGTTTATTTAACCCAATACAACTATGACTGCTTTCATTCAACTGATTCATCAAAAATTGGGTAATTATTTATTTTTGTTTATCTTTCTTCAATGTATATATAGCTCACATTTATGTTAATGTTTAATATTGGAAGTGTTTGGGGGGGTCTTCATTTAGAAACTTATTTATGTTTTTCTGTCAAGAAATATGGCTTAGGAAATTAACTCTTGTTTATTTATCAATTAGCCTATATAAATAAATAAATGCCTGATAAAAGTGGTTATCAGGCATTCACTTCACTTACAGTTTTCAAGAACGTATTGACAATGTTAAGTAAACAGTTAATATAATATTAATCCAGATTACTTAGAGATCACAAAGAGACTTTCATCAAAGATTTCTTGCAAAAATTTGTTTTAAAAAAATTAGTGCCTTGGGTAGACCTATTTATTCAACATTCATAAAGTAAATACTACATACTATTGCTAGGCATTGGGATAGAAATACAAAAATGAGTAAGATAAAATCCTTTGCATTTAAGCAATTAAGGATCCAGTGGGGGAAAGACATGTAAACAGCCTCACAACTGAATTGGGGACAAAGTTATGGCAGCAAAAATGATGGATCAATGACCTAATCCTGGCAGAAGCGGAGGAACACCTCTCATAGGAGGTGATATTTGAGCTAAATGTTGGGAGGAATAGTAGTTTGTCATGTGAAGAAGGGGGAAAGAGCATTCAGAGGGAAATACAAGAATTCAGCGTTACGAAAAGATCTAGTTGCCTGTTTGGGAATTAGTGTTGATGGAACAGTGAGTGTATCACGGGCAGATGAGGCTAGAAAAGTTGCAAAGAGCACCGGATTCCAAGCTAAGAAATACACATTTTTCTCATACAAGCAATAGGAACTAAGAAGAGTATCATTAACAGCCGTTTCTAAGGAAGATTATTCTGGAAGCTGTGTAGAAAATGGACTGGAGACCAGTTAGGAAAAGGTGGGGAGAAGAAAACTCCCGTTTACTGAGAGCCCCTATCAACCGAACATGCTACACCCTCCATGGCCATAACTACATTTAACTACACAATAACCCTATATATACTAATATAATCACATTTAACTACATAATAACTCTATATATACTAATATGAATATTATAATTCCATTTTATAGAAATTAAAGAGAGAAATAGAGACTCTGAGCAGCTAACTGACTTGCTCAAACTGCTAGCTAGTAAGGGAAGCCGCGTTTTTGATGCAAGAACTGTCCATGGCATAAATAAAATTAGGATCTGGGCTTCAGAAACAACAGGGGGAATGGGGAACAAAATCCGAGGAATGTATTTACACGGTCACATATTTGGGGAGGATTTGCAAAAGTAAAATATAACCACAAGCATTCCAGCATCTCTGCCGCTAGACTCCCCTTTGTGTCTAGAGAGGCTCGCGAGTGACCCTGGGTATGCTTCCCAAGGCGGCCGAAAGGCAGGGCTTGGGGCCCCGCAGCACGGGCTTGGGGAGGAGGGTCCGTGGGGATGACGGCTCCGGGGCAGGAGGGGCTGCCAGGAGCGGGGCCTGGGTGACTGGAAGATAGAGGGAAAGCCCACTCGTGGCGCGAGTTTCCACACCTGGATGAGCCCGCTGAGGACGCCGAAGAGCCAGTGCTTGCTGTAGACCGTGCCCCCTATGCAGTCTCCCCCGGCCACCTCCCCCTCCTCCTCCTCGTCCCGACCCGGCGGCGGCGGCGAAGGATTACGGTCCATGACTTGGCCGCGCAAGACGCGCGGGAACCGCTCCGGAAGCCGCGGAGGAGGCGACAGGTTTCCTTGTGCCAGAGCGCCGGCGCACTCTACGCGGCTTCGGTCACAGCGCCCTCTGCTGTCGGGAGCCGTGCCAGCCTGGGCGCCCGCCTACACGACTTAGTCTCCACAACCCCATCCCACACAGGACGGAATCTTTCTCCTAGTTAGTTGTCTCCGTCACTGAACCAGATAGTCTATTTCTCCAGGTGCTCTTCCCTGATCGGAGAAGGAAGAGGAAGGGAGAGGAGGAAGCAGAGAAAAAGTCAGCGTCTCTAGTACAGATGTGAATCTCAAAGCTATCTAACCTATTCCATTTGTGATCTGGATCTAGAGGTCAGGAGTTAGAGACCAGCTGAGGAAGAGGAAGACTCTGTCTCTAATAAAAAACAGAAAACATTATCAGTATGTGGTGATGTGTGCCTGTAGTCCCAGCTGCTTGGGAGGCTGAGGCAGGAGAATTTCTTGAACCCAGGAGTTTGAGGTTTCAGTAAGCTACAATGACATCACTTGAGCTCTACAGAGCAAGCACTTGTCTCAAAAAAAAAAAAAGTGTTTGTGTGACAGCTTTAATTGGCTTTATGCATGTATGTCAGAGTAGAACATGTCCCTGCTCTCTGGAATGGAAAGAAAATGTCAGAGTGTAACAGAGGGAATGGCCTGGAAAAAGGCAAAATGTTTTATGAGCTGTTTATTTAAAACCTCCCATACTCTTTATGGGAATTAAAACCTGCACCCCTGCCACAGGCCAGTGGTCAGGAGGGATAGAGGAATGTCCTTTGTTCTTTGCACCACAGGATATGGCTCAACAGACCTGGGAAGCTATCCTGCCAGTTTGTCTTGGCTGGAGGCAGATTGCGGTGGCCGGAAATGGGAGGCATCAGAATTGTCAACTATGGTTAAACAGCAATAATTTGAAGCAGAAAACTGAAGGGACCAGATTTGCCACCAAGAAACCATGCACACCTGGAAATCCAAGTAGTTTTATTCTTTTCAGGCATATGCTCGGGTCATTCCCACCATCAAAGTGGTTGTAGAAAAGAGTGGCCTTGAAACAAAGGGCAGGAAAACTTTTATACACTTTCTCACAGGGTATTATGGGTTGCAATAAAATGCTAAGGAAAATGGCTGAGGAAGAAGTCAGTGTGCGTTTACTTATTGGTCATTGGAGAGGCCTGGGGTTTTGATAGGTTACCTGTCTTTCTGTGGTTGGGGTCTTTGCTGGAGTTAGTACCGTGTGAACTTCTGATTGGTTATTGTTATCAGGGCTGTTTACCTGATTTACGGCCCTCGGTAGAGCGCCTGTGGAGTCATAGATCACAGCAACTTCAGACTCTTGGGCTCAAATGATTCTTTTTTTTTCTTTCTTTTTTTTTAAAGGGCTGGGGAGTGCCTGTGGGTCTCAAATCGGCTCTGCCAGATGCAGAGGATCAAAAGCAATGCACTGCCGAAAGAAGCGATGAGCTAAAGCCAGCCCTCAAATGATTCTCTTGTCTCAGCCTCCTGAGTAGTTGAGACTATAGGTGACCACCACAATGCCCAGCTACTTTAAAGACAGGGTGTTGCTCTTGCTGGTCTCGAACCTGCAAGCTTAGGCAATCCACCCACCTTGGTCTTCCAGAGTGCTAGGATTACAGGCCTGAGCCACCTCACCTGGTGACACTGAGGAAGTTTAATGAAAAAAAAAACCCTCTATAGAGTTCAAAAATTTACTTCTTTGCTAAAAACATTGCATTTCTTCTAAGAGTAGAATATAAACGTCTTAACACAGTAACTAAGAAAATGACACAAAGGCTATGTTAACCAGTTTGATGAAAATATTTCAAATTGTATATGAAAACACCACATGGTGAGGATTCAATGAGATAACACATGGCCTTGGAAAATGTAGCTGTTATGATTGTGTTAGGTATATCTACTCTCCTTTCACCCCACTCAGAACATAAACCAAATGACCCATAGACCAGCCCCTCATCTTCCAGCTTCTGCCACTTATTGCTAACTGGCTCAGGGTTGCATGTTTCCCAACTCATATACCTGAGAGCCTACCTCAAAGAGGGTTGTTGTGAGGATTAAATAAGATCATACATGCAATGTGCAACTAGCTCATGAGGAAACACATTTCTTTTTGTGGTGAATTATCAGCGTTCCTTGTTGAATTTTATCCTCCCTCCAAATGACCAGTTGACATGAAGCCTAAAGTGGGTGAATTGCTTGCTTGCGGTTATCTCTGGTGGCAGTAAAAACAAAGGGATTGAGGGCACAGTTTTAGTAGGATCTCCAAAAGCACAGATAAAAATTGCCACTAAGATTTGCAAATAACAAACATTGCATGGAGGGTATCAGTAATTTATAACCAAGACTGTTATAGAGGTGAATTCAGAACCTCTTAAGGGAGACCCCCATCCAGGAAGCACTTGGTACCCAGCTTCACGGAATGTGGCTAGCAGGTGACTCCCAGCTTTCAGCTCCTTAATTTTGGCCTTATCTGGTGACTGAACAAGGGGGTTGAAGGAGATGGGGAGCAGGTGTGGTACAAAGACCTAGTCAGTTCAACCTCATGTGGGACACTATGTGGGCATCACTTCCACCCATGTCCCCTGCCAGGTTGTTATGGCCTTAACAAACTACTTCTCCTCTCTCCAGTCACCTTCCTCTACTTTCCTTGTACAAGTATTTCGATCCCTAAACATCTTGGATCCCATGCTCCATATACATCTGTTTCTGAAGAACACAACTAAGACAGTTGGCAATCTCAATCGCCAAGAGTTATCACTGATGTTTGTGAATCACTGAGGTGGCTGGGGTTCATTTTTGAATGTATATAACTGAACTAGGAATTACGACTAACCACTCAGAAGACATTGGATCCCTGGACATGTGTGGAAAAATAATCCATAATTAAATTTTGGGGTTGTGTAGTTAATAGGTCAGCAATGTTTGTTTGAGTCTACCCACCTCTTTTTTTTTTTTTTTTTTGAGACAGAGCCTCAAGCTATCCCCCTGGGTAGAGTGCTATGGCATCACAGCTCACAGCAACCTCCAACTCCTGGGCTCAAGCGAGTCTCATGCCTCAGCCTCCCAAGTAGCTGGGACTACAGGCACCCGCCACAACGCCCGGCTATTTTTTGGTTGCAGCCATCATTGTTGTTTGGCAGGCCCAGGCTGGATTCGAACCCACCACCTTAGGTGTATGTGGCAGGCACCTTAGCCACTTGAGCCACAGGCGCCGAGCCTACCCACCTCTTAAGGACAAACTTTCCCTTGAATCTTCTGAAATCAAAGCTGAACTTTATCCTCAGTGGTAACCCTTGGGGTAAGATTGAGATGTGCCCTGAAGGAATGTGCTTCACATATAGAAGACTGAAGAGGGTGGTGCCTGTGGCTCAAAGGAGCAGGGTGCTGGCCCCATATCCTGGGAGTGGCAGGTTCAAACTTGGCCCTGGCCAAAAAAAAAAAAGACCGAAGACCAAGAATACTTAGATAATTGGGAAAGGAACAAACATTGAGTACCCATTACTGCCAAGCACCATTCTAGGCACTGGGGTTGTGGCAGTGAAGAAAAGAGAAAAATTCTAGCCTGGGTGGTACTTATATTCTGGCAGGGAAAGACAAGCAAACAGTTAAGTAAAATTTATGCTATAGGAGATAAGTTAGTACACGGATAGCCCCTAATGAATCATGCCTCCTGGTCCTCCTCCCCTTGGGTAGGTTTGGCCATGTGACTTCTGGTCAATGGGACATCAGCAAATGTGATACAAACAGATGCTTGCTGAGTGCTTATGTGTACTGGAGCTCACCCTTTTGGGGCGGCACTGTGTGAGAAAACTCAGTTGTGTCTCCTTAATGATGAAGACCACATGGAGATAGCAACCCAGCAATTTTAGCCCTCCCAGATGGGCCTAGCCCCAGTGCCTACCAACCCTCAAGCTGAATACCACAGCATAAATGAGTCTAGGTGAGACCAGAAAAAGAACCTCCCAGCCAACCCGTATGATTATAAAAAATAATACATCAATCCTGCATTTAGGCATTAGGTTTGGGAATGTATTTTTACTACACCAATAGATAATTAGCACAGTACATAAGAAGGTAAGTAGTGTTATGGAAAAAAACAAAGAAGGCGAGAGTGATGTTATCTACCAATACTTACAATGCAGAGTGGTCTTGATCTTGGGATAGGCATGTAAATGAGTGGAGATCCTTATATACAGGGAGACCTGATATATAATAGGAGTGGAATTGAAAAAAATATCAATATTAATACTGATAAACTACCCATGTAAAGATAAAAATTAAATTAAATCTTTAATCAAAGTCAAATTTGGGTGGATTGAAGAAGACTTAATGTAAAAAGCAAAAGCTTAAAGCTTTTAAAAGAAACTGTATAGTATTTTTTTTTTTTGAGACAGAGTCTCACTTTGTCACCCTTGGTAGAGTGCCATGGCATCACAGCTCATAGTAACCACAAACTCTTGGGCATAAGCAGTTCTCTTGTCTCAGCCTCCTGAGTAGCTGGGACTACAGGTACCCACCACAATGCCCAGCTATTTTTAGAGACAAGGTCTTGCTCTGGCTCAGGCTGGTCTTGAACCTGTGAGCTCAAGACAATCCACCTGCCTCAGCCTCCCAGAGTGATGGGATTACAGGAGTAAGCCACCATGCCTGGCCCTATAAACATTCTTTTTTGTGACTTCAGAGATAGAAAGGATTTACTTAAAATACACAAAGCAGGCTCGGCGCCTATAGCTCAACCGGCTAAGGCGCCAGCCACGTACACCTAAGGTGGCAGGTTCGAATCCCCAGCCCGGACCCGCCAAACAACAAT